TACTGAAAGTACTGAATTTCACTGAGTAAAATCACAAAGTGAATGTGTGAGATATATGGAAGAAAAAGAAGACAGTGTTTTGGAGAAAAAAGAAGACTGTGTTTTGAGGAAAAAAAGGAACAAACACAAAAACAGAAGGAGCAATCAATGAGGTAGGAGGAACTCTAATCAATGTAGTTTCCTGGAAGCCAAATGAAAAAAAAACTTATAATCAAGGAAGAAGGAATGGTCAAATGTGTCCAATCCGGCTGAAAAAAGCGAAGAGCTGACCTTTGTGTTAAATAATATAAACCATTGTTCAATCCAAGGACTTGTCTGTAACTCTTACAAGAGCAGTTTTTTTTTAAATATTTTTTTATTTCTAGGACAGAGAGAGAGACAGCGCGAGCGGGGGAGGGTCAGATAGAGAGGGAGTCACAGACTGAAACAGCCTCCAGGCTCTGAGCTGGCAGTCAGCACAGAGCCCGACGCGGGGCTCGAACCCACAAACCGCGAGATCATGACCTAAGCAAAAGTCGGACGCTTAACCGACTAAGCCACCCAGGCGCCCTACAAGAGCAGTTTTGATGAGTGTAAAGTGTGATTGGAGTAAATCATTCCCAGTCTCTGTTTCAGAGCCATGTTCCCCAACCTATTTCTGTCTGCCTTGCTGTTTTCTCATTTCTGGCTTCATATCAGGTTTGATTTGGTGCTTAGTCCCTTTTGCATTGTTATAACCTGATTCCATTAAATAATGACTGTGTCTCAGCCACGTTGCCTCCAGATGCCTCAAATATAAATCCCTCCCAGCTCTCTTGGACCCAGACCCTTTCTACTCTGACATTACCCTCATGGTTTATTGCTACTGGATTTGTCGTGGCTTTAGGTTCGAGGAGAACAGACACTATTGTCAAAGAGCTTCCCACAGACTGAGGTGTTGGAAAATCTTGGTGCAGGGATCTCACCAAGCTTCTTCTTCTTTTAAAGTTTATTTACTTATTTTTAGAGAGAGAGAAAGTACTCGTGCATGTGTGCGTGTGCATGTGCGTGTGTATGTTTGAGTGGGGGAGATGCAGAAAAGGAGAGAGAAGGAGAATCCCAAACAGGCTGTGGATTGTCAGCAGGAGACCCTAAAAGGGGCTTAGGCCCACAAACCAACTGTGAGATCATGATCTGGGCCTAAATCAAGAGTTGGATGCTTAACCAACCGAGCCACCCAGGTACTCCCCGACCCCTTGACCATGCTTATTCCCTGCAACTCAATCTCTTTCATCTTTCCCAAGGCCTAGATGTAACAATTGACTCTGTCCTTCTGGGAATCTAGGACCCTTTGTGTTTTGAGCTGGCAACAAGGTCTAGTTTCTCTTAGTAGCCATGTGGCTTCCATGGAGCGTTCTACTTCCCTGGTAGCTGTCTTCCTCTGAAGTCCTTCAAAACTACTTTGGAACTTTCCCTTTCAAAACTTTTAAACAATTTAACTTTTAAAACATTTCTTTTAATCTTTATTTATTTTTGAGAGAGAGAGAGAGAGAGACAGAGAGAGAGAGCACAAGCAGGTGAGCAACAGAGAGAGAGAGGGAGACACAGAGTCAAAAGCAGGCTCCAGGCTCCAAGCTGTCATCATAGAGCCGGGTGTGGGGCTCGAATTCATGAAACTGTGAGCTCATGACCTGAGCTGAAGTCAGATGCTCAACCAACTGAGCCATCCAGCTGCCCCTGGAACTTTCTCTTTCAAAGATCACCCAAAGATATAGGAACTTCTACTAAGTTCTTGTCACCAAGAGCAGCTTTAATATTCATCTTATTTGCATTAGTATCTGACAGACTATGCTGAATGCTAGGGACATACAGGTGAAATAAGGCCAGGAGGGATTCCTAATTAATATTTGTCGTTTAAGAAACATAATAAGGAATATTGTTCAGGGACTTATATTGGCCACTACATTTGTTATGGCTCCATTCAGAACCCAAATGGGCCATGATGATGTTGGTGGTGTGATAGATCCCAGGATCTAAATTTCCTTGACAGATAGAAGAATGATAAGGATGAAAGTTTGTTGAATAATGTTTATTAAAAGATACTATCCAGAGAGAAAGTTTAAACTAATTCTCTTTGTTCATGTCCTTTAGTCCAAACATTGTGTGAGAGATTCCTGAAAATAAATACAGTAATATCTCAGAATGGCCATGGTGATTAGGTTAGGCATCCAAATAAAAACTGTATGTAGGGGTGCCTAGGTGGTTCAGTCAGTTAAGTGTCTGACTCTTGATTTCAGCTCATGTCATGATCTCTTGGTTTGCGGGTTTGAGCCTCATGTTGGGCTTTGTGCTAACAGTGTGGAACCTGCTTGGGATTCACCCTCTCTCCTCTTTCTGCCCTTCCCCTGATTGCTCTGCTCTCTCTCTCTCTCTCTCAAAACAAATAAATAAACTTAAAAAAAAACCCTGTGTGTAAAATTCCCCATTTACTTAAATTGACAATGATGAAAAATTCTGCAAGGTGTCTGTGGTAGCCAGCCTCTACTGTTGCCTCTAATGATCTTTTCCTTCTAGTATTTATTCACACTCTTGTGTCCTCCCCTCCTACACTGTGATCAATAGAAGTATGTGACTTCCAAAACTAGGTCATATAAGGCTTCCTGGCTTCTGTCTTGTTCTCTTTCTTAGGATCACTTGTTCTGGGGGAACCAGATGCCATGTTAGGAAGACACTCAAGCAGCCCTATGGAGAGACCTACACAGTCAGGGATTAAAGCCTTCTAACAACTGTCAGTAAGGAACTGAATTCTTTTGCCAGTGTGTGGGTAAGCCATCTTGGGAATGGATTCTCCAGCCCCACTAAGTCTTTCCATATCTCCAGCCCCCTCCAACGTCTTTACTGCAACTTCATGAGAGATCCTGAGCCAGAACCCTTCAGCTAAGGAGTTTCCAAATTCCTGACCTGAAGAGATTGTGTGAGATCATAAATATGTGTTGTTTTAAGCTGCTAAATTGTGGCATAATATGCTACTCAACAATTAACAATAAACACAGGGTCACGTGGAGCTTTTTGAAGGTGCTATCCGCCACTTGAGCCCTAGAGTGCTAAGAAAATCACCAACTTAGTTTGTCTCATCTCTTTACATTTAATTTAATTCCCATTTAAAAATGTTTTCAGAGTTCTGGCATTTTATCCCCTAACTTTGATATTTACAGGATTTTAGAAATAGAGCTTAGTGATTCAGCAGTTGTTCTCTCTCTCTCTCTCTCAAAATAAATAAATAAACTTAATAGAAAATCTCCATATTTTCAACTTGCAGGTGAATTCCTTATTAGGTAAAAGACCCTTTGCATTTCTATGTTATAATGTTCTCAGTTATTACCCTGTATTTCTTTTTGTCTATGTGTAATTTCATCTACTGTAATCATAATTTAATTTTGCAACATTTCTATTTCTCTATCTTGTTTGCTCCTTTTTGTATAGCCCACAATAAAGCAGGCATTTTGCAGGTGTTCTCATGATAGAAACGTATGACTGAGTCCATTAAGGTACAATTTTAGCAATAGATCTAACTTGGCTTTCATTATTCTTTTTGCTGGTAGGTGACCTATTATTAATAGATATTGAAAATGCATAAATTGTGGGGCGCCTGGGTGGCTTAGTCGGTCGAGCGTCCGACTTTCGCTTAGGTCATGATCTCGCGGTTCGTGGGTTCGAGCCCCGCGTCGGGCTCTGTGCTGACTGCCAGCTCAGAGCCTGGAGCCTACTTCAGAGTCTGTGTCTCCCTCTCTCTCTGACCCTCCCCTGCTCACGCTGTCTCTCTCTCCTAGAAATAAATAAAAATATTTTTTAAAAAGGCATAAATTGTTCAACTATTCAACTTTTTATGGAGATGTAGAACTATAGCTTTGGTCACATATCTGAACACTTTATGGGCTTAGTTAAATCTCCCCAGTAGGGTTAATTTAAAAAGCTACACAGATGAGCACCGGGTGTTATATGAAAACCAACCTGACAATAAAATATTTAAGAAAAAATAAATAAAAGTGCCAGTCACAGAAAAAAGAAAAGAATACTAACTATCTGTCACATTTTATTTCAAATACATTTCCATATTTTTTCATTTAAAAAATAAATAAAAAGCTACATAGAGTTTACATTCTTTTCTTAAACGTTTGTTTGTTTGTTTGTTTTTGAGACAGAGAGAGACAGAGCACGAGTGGGGGAGGGGCAGAAAGAGAGGGAGACACAGAATCTAAAACAGGCTCCAGGCTCTGAGCTGTCAGCACAGAACCCAATGCAGGGTTTGAACCCACGAACTGCTAGATCATGACCTGAGCAGAAGTCAGATGCTTAACCGACTGAGCCACCCAAGCACCCAAGAGTTTGCATTCTTTAAAGGAGAATGGGCTGTGTTTCAATTTCATGGTTAAATGTGATCTTGGTTTTCCTTTCTCCATAGAAACTGATGAATGGGAGGAGAAGACCTATTGTAGGCTAGACCTACTGATAGTGACATGTATCTGTTGTCTTGGTGCATCTCCTGTTCTCCATTTTATTGGCTTTACAGTAAACAGCTTGAACTAAATGACCTACATATTTAGTCTTCCTGCAGATTTCTATTCATCCTCCAACAGGGAAGTCACAAGCCCACTCCTTTTCCCCCTGAGGCTATCAAAGATGAAAGGCTTAGCTGAATCTTTGTTTCCAAAAGAATATCTAGTATTAAAGGTGATCTCTGCTTGCCTTTTATACATACCTTTGAAGTATCTTGGGTTAGTAAGTTATGAAAACCCATGAGATAGTTCCAAAAAGATCTAAACTCATTCCCAGGATGCCTGTTGTCATGAGCCAACAATAGAAGCAACACCAGAGGAGTACTCTCTGTAGGCTGGACAACATTTTAAGCACTTCACGTAATACACCTCTCTTAACCCTTAACCCTCCCCCTGACCCTATTAGCTATTGTTACCACAGTTCCAGAGTTGCCTGGTGTCTCATTCAGAGTGTTCTACATTCTCTACTCACCAGACACAGGGAAGAACATTCTTAGTCTGTCCACGGAGTCCTCAGTATGGTCTTCTTTGTTGCACCAGCTGTCCAAGCTGAACTTTGCAACCCTGCACAGTGAGAACTGAGTAAGACACACCCCATCCACAGCAAAAGGGTGACTGTGTGGCCAGAAGTCCACTCTGAGAGGTATAACGTTTTGCTTAGAAGTCATGAACTCCAGTACCCCCCACCCTCCACTGACCCCGCACATACAAATACATACAGACATGAGGCATTCACTTCAGCTGCTTCAAATAGTTTATATTAGCTTGCGTGCGACAATATCAGAAATGGAGCATATTTTAAATTTCATGGCTTTTAAAAATTCAAATACTACACCAAAAGTCAACCAAGTGGGTGAATCATTGCATAGAAGAAAGACAACAAATAATAGGTAGGGATTTGAAAAGATCAGGCTGTGGCTGGGAAAGAAAAAACAGCCAGACTTTTAGACAATCAGATGAGTTGGTAGTGCCCAGATGTAGGTTTCCTGTGAGTATTTAATTTTTCTAATTAAGGTTGTTAGGATCCATTAAGCTTTGTCCATGGAAACAGTATCCAAGATACACAACTGGTTCCAAATGGACTTGTTTCAAGCACAAAGCAGGAAGCAAGACTTCAGGATAGAACTCAGAGGCCAAAAAGTATCTCTAACGTCTAAAGGTGAGAGCGTTCTTGAATTCAAGTTCATTTGAGTTATAAAAATTCAACCACTCTGCTGGGGTGGTAGGCTGGGAAATAACATGTTATCAAATGTTATTCTGTATTGTATATAGAATAAGCATGTGCATTTATATATTACATATTGTACATAGTTATAAAGATTCACCTATTATATTTTATAGGTTGTATCCTCAAAACCCTGAAATCAAACTTTATAAGCAACTTAAAGGACTTCCAGGGGTGATTTTGACCCTACTTGTCCTTGACCTTGAGCACAGTCTTAGAAGCCCAAGCAGCCTGTGACTCCTCTGTGAATTAAATGGCCCTTCAGAGAGAAAGAAGGCCCACGGGATGGATGTCCCAAGAACTGATCCAAGTCTGATTGCTGCTAAGGTGGGGTCTCTATCTGTCAGGTCCTGGAATTCACTAGGAATAAAGAAGGAAATGATGTTAGAGTGATTCAGGAGCATTTTTGATCAGTCTGTTCTATTTTATCCAGAACACATTCTAAAGTCAGTGAGAGAATGTTTTGTGAGCTGTTGCATTAGGAGTGTGTTGTGTTGAACGAGAAATGGTTTTCTTGCCCATAAGTTTGCTTCCCTAGCCATTGAAGGCAGAGAGGATAGTTCACCAGAGTTAGCCGAAAAAAATTCTGGGCACCTACTTCTATTCTTAGAGGCTGTGTGTGTGATAACGATACAGAGACCCATTCCAGTCTTATGGAAGGGGGTATATGTTTACAGGGACTAAAATAGTAGCACATTAAAATCAGGCAGGTGCTGATTGGGGAATGCAAAACCATCTTCTCAAAGAGGCTCTGGAAGTTTTTGTTTAAATGTTTTCAGCAAAATAAGCTGTTACTAGGAAAACATGTTGTTATAAATATAAGGGTCCACAGGCTTGAAATGTATCTGGCTGATTTCTCCTTCCTTGTAACTCTGCTAAGCCTACATGCTCAGCAGTGAAAGTTGGATCTCCTCGTGCCCTTGATCACCCCTGGCTGCTGGCAGAAAATGGTCAGCTTTCTGAGCTTAAAGCAAAGTCTTTTTCTTGATTGATGACCCCTGATATTTTAGAGTATGTATTCAGACAAATCTTTGGACCCAGGAGTCTCTTGCATGATATAATGGGCCATCTTACATTCTGGGTGTGAGGGAAAAAAACACATGAAAGTGGACATAAACAGTAAAAGAAGAAACAATGTATTAGTCCAGAGAGGAATTATGGTGGTCACATAGAGTAAGAGTCACTTTGTGACAGTGTTGATGGCCGAAGGACCATAGATGGGAGGTGGACCGGGGTTCAGAGGGACATTTTGTACATAGGTACATACTTATTTCCAGGAGACTTGTCCAATTAAAATTGTCAGAGTCTCAAAGGGTTTTGTGAATCAAGAAAGATTGGAAGCATTGCCCTAGGAGATCAATTTAGTCTCAGTCTTGAAAGATTCCTTAAGTTACAGAAGGTACAGAGGAGGAAGGCTCTCTGAGGAAGTGGGAAAATGCAAGACATAAGCAAAGAAACACTCTGAGAAAAGTGCAAGGCATACTGGAAATGGCGTTAGACCTGCGTGATAGGGACAGGGAATTAATACAGAACAGTGAAGAAACTGAAGCTGGAAAATAGGTAGGAACTGAAATGGGGACAATCTTAAATGAACACTAAGGAGGCTGGACTCCCTCCTACACACCATGGAGAATCACTAGCTCCAATTCAACTGAAAAACTACTGGGCACCTGATATGTATAAAGCAGTATGTGGTATCCTGGTTTGGGGGATGAGGATGGGACAGACATATGTAAGGGAGAAAGGTTAAATTTTGCTCACAGCGTAACAGTAGTTAGCAGTAATTAACATTTATTCCCACACTTACTATGGGCCAGTCCCTGTACTAAATGCTTCAAATGGATTATCCGATTTAATCGTCAAACCCCTATTGTGGTATACCCTATTGGGGTATAAGGAAGTTACATTACTTCTCCTTAGTTACAGCTGGGAAAGGTGGAGTCATTGTTCAAACGCAGGCAGTGTAACTCCATTGTCCAAGCTCTGGAACACTCTGCTGACTGTTCTGGAATATCCTGACTGCAGCCAGAGAGGACCATCACCCCAGGCCTCTCACCAATACCAGGGTATTGGCCCTTCTCAAGACTTCCAGAGTTTACCCAGTGCTATGTGAAGTGACAAAATAAATATTGCATATTTCTATAAGCAGTCAACTGTATTTCAAGACTTGAAAAATATATAGGTGAAAATAGATATGGGTCTATTATGCATGTAAAAACAACATTAATTTTCTAATGAACATATTACATAACCTGTGTACAGAAAAGTGAACACTTATAAGCATACAGCTTGCCATACTTGCACACAGTGGAGGCATCTATGTAACTGGCACCCAGCTGAAGAAGTGGAACACTCCCAGAGTCCCCATGTGCACCTTCCCTGGCACTAGCACCTGGAGTAGCCATCATGAAGTGATGTGCAGCCGGCTTCTTTTCCTAACATTGTGATTGTAAGATTCATCTATATCGTTGCAAGTGGCAGTCGTTTATTTATGTGGCATTCTTTCTTAAAGTAAAACTTGATACCACGATGAAGTTATTTGCATTTTTAGGGACTATTCTCAAGTTTTTTGAGAATGAAGTAGAGTCTCTTCCGTTTGGTCACTTGAATGATCAAGTTTGAGCAATACAGGAGAAAGCACTAAATTTTGTGTTGAGAGAAAGGATTCTAGTCTTCCTCCACCACTCACTGCTGTGTGACCTTGGGCAAGTCACTTACATTCTCTGAACTTCATTCCCTATATTAATAAAGTAAGGAAGTGAGAGTAAAATGTCTCTTGGTCTATCCTCATATGAGAATGGGCTTAACTTAAGAAGGGTTTATGGATGAAATAAAATTTCTCTAAAATAAAATTATTTTTTCTATTACAGAAGAAAAGCATATTTGTCATAATAATTCAAACAACACCAAGCTGTCTGAAGGAAAATTTGATAATAAGTGTTCAATCTTGCCTTCCTAATACACAAAAACAATGTAGTTTGGTATCTATACATCTATACATTTTCTGTTGATACAACCTATGTTCCCTTACTGAGCTTTATGATTGCTGTTTTTTAACGGAATCATACTAATACATTTTATTCTGCAATTTTCTTTTCATGGAAATTCTTTCAAGATTGAAACATATGTTCCCGATCATTTAATGTCTGCAGAATTAATGTGTGCACAGTGTGCCATTGGTGCATGTATGGTTATCAGTCATTCCTCTACCGATTGATACTCAGGTGGTTTCCAATTTTTTTGCTATCACAACATGCTGCAATCAACATCCCTGCACATATACTATTAAACTCTAATGTTCTTATTCTGTATGATAGCTAGAAGCTCTCAGATTGTTTTGTTAAAAAAATCGCTTAGTTTGCATCTCGAAAGTTGAGTTTTGAGCAGATCTGAATGTGAGGTTTGAAGCAAGGAAAGAAGTGAGCTCTTAAACACTTCTCCTAATAGTCCAAATAGTCATGGAAAGTAGAAAGCTGAAAAATAAAATATGAAGTGAATCTTTTTTTTTTAAATGTTTTTTATTTATTTCTAGGAGAGAGAGAGACAGCGTGAGCAGCGGAGGGTCAGAGAGAGAGGGAGTCACAGACTGAAACAGGCTCCAGGCTCAGAGCTGGCAGTCANGCACAGAGCCCGACGCAAGGCTCGAACCCACGAACCGCGAGATCATGACCTAAGCGAAAGTCGAACGCTTAACCGACTAAGCCACCCAGGCGCCCCTGAAGTGAATCTTTAAAGGCTCATGTTTGAAATTGCGGAAGGCTGAAACCAGAAATGTGGGAAGGGGAAATATTTCCCAAAGGAACACTAAACAGAAACATGATTTAATGAAAAATTAAAAGACAAAAAAAAAAATTCCTGCCTAAAATCACAGAAATAAGTCATTTGTGTTATTCTGCAGACAGGCAACTGAGTTGACTGTTTATTTAAATTGGGTTCCACACTAACCTGGAGAAACTTTCCAGTAACTTTTAAAGCCTAATGAGGCATCTTCCCTGACCTGCTGTTCCAGACCCTTAGCAAACCCCCCCCCCCCCCCGCCCAGGGGATCCTGCCTCCTGCAGGCTGGGATAACCACTAGCTGACTCTGGGGAGATGGACAGAGTTATGCTATTTGAAGTGATCAGTATTACACAGAAGAAGATTTATTTCTCCTGTCACTGCTTCACTTTGATGCTGGTCTGGAAAGGATACTTTTCCCTTATCCAGTAATATCTGAAACACCAAAACCTCTCCTACTCCCTCATGAGAGAACCAGATGAAAGCTATTGTCAGGAGCCAAGGGGAAGAAGGGAAATGGGGTGGGGAAAGGGAGGGGGAAAAGGGAAAGGGTCTCCTCTGGAGACCATTGAGAGAGGAGAGGGGGAGGGCGGGAGACCAGAGGGGAGCAACTCCTTGATACCCATCCTGATTGGAAGGAAAAAGTAAGGAAGCTTTTGGCACCACCGTCTCCCTCTGGGTGCAGGCTTGAGTGTCAAAGTTTTATTTCTGGTGGTGAACTGTGTCTTCCTGTCCTTCCAAGTTTTAAGGGCACAGCTAAGGGTTTGCATCTACCATGTGCATGGCACGGATCTACAATAACGTGCTCTTCTTTGCACAAGGAGATAGCGCTACTTATTCATCCTCAGGGAACATGCTGTGTTTTATTCACAGGGATAGTTTTACACTAATGCTGCCACTCTGTTTCCTTGGACTCTGAAGTGACCAGCTGGTCCCACGTGCAGGCAGCTGGTCGGGGCTGCGGAACAGCTAATTGGCCGGCAGAGGGAATGAACCTGTGACCTCCACCTCACACGCTGAGCGCTCAGCAGAGTGTGGTGGGCTCGAGTCACTCAGGGCTGGGCGGTCAGTGCTCTAGCACTGTTAGTTGTGACAAGTCCTGTAGCTACATATCTTCACTAACCTCAATTTTTTATCCGTGAAATAGGAATAACCATTGCTCTCTCGTGGTGTTTTTGAGAGGATTAAATAAGCCAAAGCACATATTTACCTCAGGAACTAAATAAATAAACGCTTTTTAGCACCCTCCAAAAAAATAATAACGTGGCCCCTTTCCTTCGGAGGTAATTCTTAGGTGTGTCCACCCGGTCCAGGAAGCGGAACAGCCAGCCACACTCTGGTGTTAAGCAGCGGTCAACGGAAAAGCCTCCTTCATATCAGTGTGTGTGTGAATACAGAATTTACACAGCATTTAAAGGAATCAGAAAATATCTCTCTTCTACTGCACCCTAGAGAATCCTGAGAATGTCTGAGTTTGGTAAATCTTTTGTCTGACTTCTAGTTTGCATCCCCGTTTAAACCTATCTCTTTATTTCTGGTCTAGTAGTCTA